ATACTGTAACGTCTGTGACATTTGTTTACAGTAATTAAGTAAAAATACTTGTCATATTAATATATTAAAAAGAACCTAGTGGAAGAAGTGTATCCTTTGGCTGGTTGTGTGTGCCCGCATCTGTGTGCGCGCGAACGTCTGTGTGCGCGAACGTCTGTGTGCGCGCACGTCTGTGTGCGCGCACGTCTGTGTGCGCGCCCGCATGTGTAGGAGGTACAAGTACAGAAATTTCTCCGCAATCATGAACAGGCTGATTTTAATGAAACTTGGTATATATGCATGATAGGTTGCTGTGGCACATTGTTTTGTTTCACAATTATACATTAACATAAGGAATCAGACTTTGTGTTCAAGATGTGTATTGTGCAATAACTTAACTATGTACATTTATAAACAAAGTTTCATGTGAACATCTCCCAGGAATTATCTGCATATGGTTTTTTGAGTTGTTCTTTATATATCTAATATTTTCTAGTGTATTTCGTACAACATCCGATATGATAGTTGTATTGATACAAGTAAAATTTCTATGCTGATTTCATATGGATGATTTTATTATCAATTCTGTCTTATTTTAGTGATATTTTTTGAGAAACTTGTCCTAATATTTTTCAAAAAATTCTATTTTTAGAACAGTTCCATTACATTTTTTGCCACTTTTTAAAACCCAGATTTTTAAAATAATTGAGACCAACAAAAGGTACCTCACCATTTACAATATATAATTTTTCAGCCTAAGTCACAAGTCAATATCCTTTTGCTCGGAAGTACAATTTATTGGAATGTGAATAAATTCTGAGTATTTGAAATCTTGAGTATGCTTCTACCTTAAACCAACTTTACAATAGAAAGGTTCAAGCTTAATCCAGTGAATTGAGTACGAGAGTTGGTAGGCGGGTTTGTTTTCCCTTTTTAATGGATTTCGTTTTAAGAATCATTGTTTTTTTTTATCAAATGTTTTTTTCCTTCACAAACACTATGACAACCCTTTAGTATCCCACATTCATTTCATTCTGCACTAAGAAATCAATGTTAATGATATCTAACCAACTTGTGTTACAAAATATTGGATGAATTTTGATATTTTGTATTGATTTTTGTCTTGTTTTTTTTTTTTTAAATTTGCAGATTTGCTAGTGAAAAAAATGAATGTAATTTCCAAGTTTGCTATGATTTAATTTAGCAAATTTAATTTATGGAAAATCAAAGTTTGCAAAAAATGTTTGTTGAATCATTCATTAGAGAAAATTATTAGTGCAATGTGTGTTTGGTTGAGACTTGCAGAGATAAAACTATTTGTCACAGTTCAGTAGTCCAGATAAACAAAACATTTGAATTGTGCAAGTATTGGAGTTGTGTTGAGATACTAAGTCACTCTTTGACTTCTTTTGGCTTAATACCGCTGTACAAAGTTCATGTAACCAGTAACCTATATACCATTCATCATGTTTATTTCTAAACTGCTCTCGTTAATTTCTCCCCCAATGAAATAAATACAGCGAGTACATAGTTTCTGATGCAATTGTTGTGAGTTTGCCGCAAGCTACTCATTGAAATGCCTGCTTGTAAACAGCATGTCTTGACTAACAAATATGGTTATTGTGTAATATGCGGTCTGTAAACTTAGCTTGAGTACAGCGACAACTAATGTGGCTATCATACAGGCAGTGATGTGAATAATGTATTTATAAAACTTGGATCTTATCTTCTTTCAGCTCATTGTGATAACATTCACACCTAAGTTGAACCAAATGATCTCTCTGTCGAATGTAAGAACTATGTGTTACTTGTCACTGTGACATCAGTATGTACGAATGTGGTTTTACAAGTGCTGTAATTACGTGCCTCCAATCAGCACACTGAAAAATACATGCGTATTTGCATGTACCCTTTTTTTAATACTTATCTTTCTGTATGAACCTAACAGAAGGTATATCCACCTGAGAATAGTGTATAATGTATCCTCCTCTTATATCAAACCCTCAGGATGTTAGGTTTAGTTATCTCATTCCATTGAATTATTTTAAATGATATCGTTTCTCTAGTGTGTATTAGTTGTTTTGATAGGAATATCACATGTTGTGTCTATCAGTACGTCTGCTTAAATGCAATTATCTACGTGGGAGTACGCAACCCATTATAGACTTGCTTGATCGTTATTGTTGAGTTATAAAACAGGATTGATAACCGATGTCACTGATGTTCACCCGTTTTCTCATTCGTCCGCTCATTGTTCCAGTAATTTCATCTCATTTAATTTATAATTTATCCTTATTATTACACATAAACCATTGACAGTTCATTTTATTGGGAGATAAATTTTGGTCATTATGTTTAATTTCTATTTTATTTCAGAAATGTAGCTGTTAGGTTATTGTGACTTGATCACGTATTGAATCGTAACCATGGCCTCCATGAAAGAGATGTTGATGTCGTTGGCAACTGAACGCCAGGACATCGCAACAGAAGTTCCAACTGAAACTACCTCACCATGTGAGAAGCTGTCGTTTGATTACCAGATTGCCACTGCTGTTATCTGTGCCTTATCGTTTGTATTTGGTATTGTTTTCTGTTTTTTCGGTGAGTAAAATGTGGTTATTTTATCACTTTCTGAAGTTTTCCATAGATTCCTAATGATTGGTATATCAATCTGATTCTTGTTATCCATGATGACGAGACAGGAGGGGGGGAGGGAGGAGAGAGGAAGAGGAGAGGAGAAGGGAGGGCAGATCTGTTGAGTATTCAACTCTTCGGGTGCACAAAATAACATCCACATCATTTTTTCCATATTTTTTGCACAATTTTGATCCATAGTTTTAGCCAATAGAAAAATATCGTTATATATTCATTTGGTCTAAATTTATCCGAAAAAATTACAGAAAAATACATACAAATGTGCAAATTATTCAAATTTTGGACAGGAACAAAATATGGCGACCAAAGGGCTCAATAAAGAAGTATATTTTATGTGAGAGAGGTAGGGAGGACAGTGTCTGCCTCTCCTCTAAATAAGTAACATCTACCTTTGATAATGCAAAAGTGTAAAAACAAAAATAATGCAAGTGACAGGGAGCTTTAATTAACTGTTTTGTAAATATACACAGAGTATGAATAGTGTGTGAAAGCAGGGCTAAATTTCCAGCACTGTCATCAAACATCAGACTCAGTCCACTAATATGTTTTTCTACATTGCAATCTAATCCACTGTTGTCCGTATTATGAACATGGCTTGATTGTCTCTCTTCCTGGCCTTAAATGAACTTTGTACAGACTATTAATTTGATTGATTGATTGTAATTAAATTAAGATACAAAAGAATCCATTATTGTTAATTAAAGTATGATATTTTAATACCAGATGTGGGCATCCTTAATAGAAGTCGTCTTAGAACTTGACTACTTGTTAAATGTGTAAGAGTTTTTAAAATACTCAAATTTTGATAATTTAGAATGTAATTGTGCATGTTGTATTATAAACTGATTGACCAGTAAGCCATTTTATCAATATTTGTTTTGACATAAACAAATTTGAGTAATTTTGTCAAAAACCTGACCACTTTGACACAAAATATATTATTAATATGATGTCATTTTATTCGTCCCCTTTCTAACACAGTCCGAAAGCGGGGACATATATTTTGACCTCTGTATGTGTATGTGTGTGTGTAGATCTCCACCTGTATCTTGCACATGCCTGGTCCGGTCACATTCTAACCTCACAAATACCTTGCATACCTTTGACAACATACACCTTCATTCATTTCATGATCCAATTCAAGATGGCCAAATGGTGGCCATTTTTGTGCTAAAATTTCATCAAAATCAAGCATTTCTGCCATTCCCGAACTGGAATGATGCACGTTATTTTGTTTTTACCTTTACCAATCATGTGCAAACTTGATGCACACCATTGTTTGATCAGATCCAACTCAAAATGTCAGAAGAAAATAAACTTGTACATCCCAACATCAAACATAACTCATACTATAAGTCAGCTGTGGAGAGTCGTAACAAGCCTAGAAATCTTAATCAAGGAATACAATGTAGTTGTTTTCCATTTGTATTGCCTATGCACCAAGTTTTCGATTTAATGATGTACTGCTTGTCTTTGAAAATTGGTTTTCACTTTATTGGGCTGTCAGTTCAATACTATTAATGATCTTGTATTTTGAATAGACTGTTCCAAAGAGCCCTTAATGAACATTTTATCCGCTAGAATTTAAAAATGTCATTCTTTGTATGCAATTTTAATGAAGATAAACAAGCTTCTTCATCATGATCAATGAACCACCGGTAATAGGGTGTTCCCAACGATGATTGAAAGATCTCATTGGTTATAGGGATATCCCATCATAGGGAAATTAGTGATTGGGGCGATTCCATCTAGTTTCTGGCCATGCACCTGAACAAATTCATAATGCAGTATGTCGAACCATGTTTGTTTCTACCATAATCATTCTGGCCAACTTCACATGCTGCCACTGTCCACCTCCACATGCGACTACTGACCACCTCCACATGCTGCCACTGTCCACCTCCACATGCAACCACTGTCCACCTCCACATGCAACCACTGACCATCTCCACACGCAACCACTGTCCACCTCCACATGCAACCACTGTCCACCTCCACATGCAACCACTGTCCACCTCCACATGCTGCCACTGTCCACCTCCACATGCAACCACTGTCCACCTCCACATGCAACCACTGTCCACCTCCACATGCAACCACTAATCCTAATTCCCAACCAATTAAAGCTAGTGTTCTGGAATTTGCCAATTTAATACATTTATTGTATCAATGAGAATTATAATCTGTCTAAAATCTGAGCAGCTGGTAGAGGAGATATAGCTGACTGACTTACCGGTATAGACTGATTTTATGATAACTATTTCCTTCCTTATCCAAGCCTCCTGAATGACAGAACAAATAGAAAAGTTCAATGGACTGTGACTGTAATAACCAATTCAAGTAGGCATGTCCTGTCACATGATTCATACCTAAACAGGTTATTCAAAAAACCGTATTGTAGACACAATGTAAATGCTGATACTTAAATATCGTGTGAAATACAATTCAACAGATGTTTTAAAGTAGTGTGTTTTTTTTAGCATTGAATGTAGAGCATATTATCTATAATTCAGTTTAACCCTTTCATTACCAGACTTTACCACCCAATTTTGTCTGTACTTTTTTCTCATATTTTTCAATATTTTTAGAACTGAACCCTAATTTTGGAGCCAACAGACAAAATGTGAGTCAATTTGCAGTTTTTACTCAAAAAATTTGACTAATTTTGTTTCAATTCTCTGAAGGAAAGTGCAGACTATTTTGTAAAACTGGTGGTGAAAAGTTCAACACAACAACTGCTTAAAAGCTTCCATGGATTGTCACAGATTTCCAATATCTCATGCCTTTTCTGCAAATTTGACTCCATGCATTAATTAATAGAATCTTAATTTAGCTAAACTGGCAACAATCTCACTGTGAGTACCGGTATATACTTTCTGTTAAATTAGCGCCATCTTACGAAATCACAGATTAGCTGAAATAAAATTCTAGCTGAAAAAGACATGTTTTACAGTACCGGTATTTACAGTAGTCTGTTAAAGCCAAATGGCAATTTTAGTTGTCCTGTGTTATAAAACTACTTAAACTATGATTAATGTAGACTGTTAACGTTTTTGACACGTTTGCAGAATTATTACTATTCTAACAAAAATGCAAGACCAACATTTGTCAACCACATTTGATTTATATACTGGTTTCCATGCCAGTATTACTGAGTTTTGTTTTTTTTAGTCAAAATTAATTGTTACATATTGCACTAAAGTTACTACACCCATGGGTGCTATGTTTAACAGTTACAGAGAATATTATGATAGGATCTTTACTGCATCGCGCATCTCTTTTAATTCAGGTGCCTCGTTAAATTTGCCATCTAATTTGTTATGTTGTCACCTATTGTGTATTACATATTGATTAGTCTTCTCATCACAATGTATTACGTGATATGAACAACATGCGCAATTCACTATGTTCACCTCTCAAAATTATTGCAATTTCTTAAATTTAATTAGCATTAGTACAAACAAAATTTCAGAAAATTTACTACATTGTATTTTGGAATGTTCACTGCTGCAATATTTAAAAAAAAATTTCTGATTCTTAAAATATGTGGAAATTTTGTTCTCCTGGGAAAATAAAGTGGTTGACAGCATTACATATCTTATCTCTTGTTGGAAAGTATTCTGAAAATGTAATTTAATGGAATTTGTGTCGCTCTCTATTGGATTATGAGTAGGTAGACTGTTTGTCGGCAGTATACCATGCTGGCATCTTTCCTGCTAATGTCACATTACGTTATGTAATCATTCAAGATTACAGTAATGTGTTTGGTTAAGTGTCACATGATAAAGGACCCCTGACCTCTGACCTCTGTGATGTGAAAAATACATGTACACTTCTTCCAAGCTATCTATTGATTCAATTTCATAATTTTTTCTTGCTAAAAAGTTTAGTGTAGTATTTTGCACACTTTTATGTATTTTTTCTATAATTTATGTGAATTTCTCATTTGCTTGATGAAATATGGCAAAACTGATTGAAAAAAATTGTCTGAGCAAGGGGTCCTGATACATTGCAGTTAAAGTCGTTAGTGGCCATTTAAATGGGAGTGAAATATTTGTTTCAATTATTTTATAAATGTTTTTTTTCCCCCACCATATGTAACTGAATAAAATTGTATGATGGAACATTTTTACTATGAAGATGACTCAAAAATCAGAGAGAGAGGTTCCATCAATTTTTTGGTAAATAAGAGTAAATAAAAAATGGTGGTATATGAATTTGTTTGCTCATGGTGGCCATTTTGAATTGAAAAATGATCAGAACACACAATTTAGATACATTTTTTTTAGACTTTCACAGTATAATTCAGTAAAATTAAGGTAATTTCTGTGTCAAAAGTATTTTAGCCATTTCAATTCTTAAAAAAAGGTTATGCTCAAAATGAAAGAATTATAAAAATCATTCTAAAACACATAATTGCATTTTTTACATACCAGTGTATACTTGTATCTCTTTATACTACTGCATTGGTTCATCATCTTCATTTTGGACACTAGGTGGCGCTGTTCCCAAGAAGGTTGGTTTATCCATGTACTGTACCTACAAACCTCATACATGTATCTGGAACACAAATTGCTACTGCTTGATTTTTATGACAAATAGAAACTTGTATTCTCATAAATTATATTTTTCTTACAGGTTACAGATGTTTTAAAGCAGTGTTATTTTTAATTGGTTTTATCTTTGGTTCTATTCTTGTCTACGCCATCTGCAACGAAGAAGGTTTTCTCACCCCGGCATTAAATGCTGGCATTGCCATGGGAGCTGGTGTACTTTGTGGAATGATTACCATGTTAGTACAGTACGTCGGTCTCTTCATGACGGGTTTCCACTTAGGACTTTTCCTTGCGTCAGCTATTCTCATTGCCTTAGAACAATTCTGGCACCCGTCGAATCTCTGGATTCCAGTTGGAATACTCTTCGGCACTGGACTTTTATTCGCCGTTGTGACTTTACAGTGGCAAAAGACATGTACGATACTTGCGACCTCGTTAATCGGGGGTGCCATGATCACAACAAGTGTCGACTACTATATAGAAAAATTTGACATGGTGCAATATGTGTGGGATCGATTCACGGCCGTGAACTCCTCTCCTGTATGTTGGTTTAGTTGGATTATTTTAGCTGTATGGCCGCTATTGTTTTTATTTGGAGTCATCATCCAGTTCAGAATCACTGGAAAAAATTACGACCATCATGAAGGTAAGTTTGAACAATATGTTTTTGTCCCTTTTCATATTTCTTAACCTAGCTGACCTTTCAGTCACTTTTCTTGGGCTCTGTGATGAGACTCTTGTTGATCTCGTACCTTATCCATTTCCTTATTATATAGATATAATTTTATATAATAATGTATACATGTATCTGTATCATAAACCAATTTATGCTATTACCTATGAACTATTCAATAACACTTTTAAGCCCAAAATGTTGTATATTTAATATTTTGTAATTTACTCTACTCACTGATTTCCTTATTCTCTATCCCATATCAGTCCCATATCTATTTACCTGGGTATTATCACCCACGATATCATAACTTGTGTCTATTGTAGACATATATTTACTGATTATATAAAACTTGTATAGATTCTGATTATAGACATTTGTAAACAGACTGTATACAGACCTATATCAACCAATTTTATACACCTGTCTATAGTGACCACATTCATGCTGACTTGTCTATAGTGACCACATTCATGCTGACCTGTCTATAGTGACCACATTTATGCTGACCTGTCTAAAGTGACCACATTTATGCTGACCTGTCTATAGTGACCACATTTATGCTCACCTGTCTATAGTGACCACATTCATGCTTACTGTCTATAGTGACCACATTCATGCTTACCTGTCTATAGTGACCACATTCATGCTTACCTGTCTATAGTGACCACATTCATGCTGACCGGTCTATAGTGACCACATTCATGCTTACCTGTCTATAGTGACCACATTCATGCTGACCTGTCTATAGTGACCACATTCATGCTGACCTGTCTATAGTGACCACATTCATGCTGACCTGTCTGTAGTGACCACATTCATGCTGACCTGTCTATAGTGACCTCATTCATGCTGACCTGCCTATAGTGACAACATATACAATCCAAGTTACTAATGTTAAATCTATTTTTGCATTTTCAAAATAACATCAAAATGTCTTTAACATGTGGATGCATCTGACAAGACTCTATTTTTTCTCCCAGCTCTCTCTTCCAATTCTCTTTTTAACATCATCACAGGCTGTTTACCATGCACACCAACTAAAAAGGAAACTGTTAAAACAGGTTTGGACACAATTAACACAAATTCCCAAAAAAATCCTGCCCCCCCATATTTTATCTTATCTCAATTGCATGTACCGTATAGTATCCTGTGTAATCATGGTAATGTATGCAATAACTGTGTACATAAGTGTTCTTTATGAATACATATTTGAATTGAATTGCTGATATTTTTTTCAAATTTTTAGTTAGTTTTAGACTTGTATGTGTTCCGAGCATAAATTAAAAGTGTTGTTGAATTAGTGTCTGTCTGTCTGTCTCTATGTGTGTCTGCACGAATTTGTTTCACGAAAATCTCAGAAAAGATCGTTGGCATAATTGCAAGATTTGAAAACTTTGGTGCGCATAATTAGCCATTTCATCTTGCGTATTGCATGAAACAAACATTTGTCACAAAAATCTAACGATTTGATATTGAATTTGATTTCCCTTATGTGTATAGCTCATTGTTGGAATGCCGATCTCTGTGCGAGGAATATAGTGTTGACCATCATCAAATGTATATTGCACATTATTGAGCGTGGAAATATCCCAAAAATAGTTTTGCACTTGTCAAATCATATGCCATGTTTCACCGTCACTACATGCTGTGACGTTTGTTTGTTTTGTTTTTACGTTCAAGTTCATGCATAACGCAAGATCTATTAATAGGTTTAATCTTTTATACCTGTATCTTGAGTTTAAAAATACTTTACATGTAAATGAGATGGAATTTGGATTTGCAAAATTAAGCTATTTGTTGGCAATCCATGTTAAAAGGTGATATATATGTAGCTACTTTTACGATAGCACATTTTTATCGCTCGTTGGACTGTATTGGTGTTCCGCTATTCACACAGCTAATAAATAATCCATCATCCAATCACCTCAACCCACTTTCATTCATAACTTATTTGCATTTTCTTATTTCTTTCTTTTTCAGTTGTTGCTAGCCCAAAGCGCAAAAGAGTTGAACTAGCTAAAATACGGCAACGTGAAGCTCGTGAAACAAGGCATCAACGATATAGAACTGTGTATAAAACTAGGAGATTCAATGGTGATGTAGTTTCTCAGGTCAGTTTTTGACCCAGTTGTTTTCGCTCACTGATGTCGTAGTGGTGTAGTGTCTACTTACATTTTTTGTTTGTATTATAACTGAAGAAGTAAATGTCTTTTTTTAATACATTGTCTGCTGGAAATCTCCACTGATAGCCAAAATGAATGGATAATGACGTCCTAACAACAGCCTAATCCTTATGTACACCATATTTTTTTTCCTACCGAAAATTTGTTTTTTTTTCTTTGTTAATTTTGGGCCAAATAGACATTATTTCTCATTGGCTACAAGTTTAGATAATTAAAATATTTATAAAATATGGAAATAATTTATAGTGCTTTATGGTTTAATTGTCACTGCTAGAAATTTTTCAGGGAGATAAAAATAAATAGACTCCAATGTTGTAGAAATTGTGATTACTACATAATTTTGAGGTTTTCTCTGAAAATTTGCTAAATGAAAGTGGTTTTACAGTAGCTGACTTTGGCCTTGAAGGGGTAAGCCTGACAAGGTCACATGAGTTGTGCCCTTTGCAGTGCTCCAAACGCAACACCTGACAGAACGATGTAGTTTTCACTTCCCCAAAGAGTATAAATTCACAGCAGAGTTTATTTTCGCCCAATGTTTATCATTTTTTGAAAAGTCTGTGATTTTTGCTGACAATGCAAACACGGCTTTGATTGATGGTGTTACCATGACTACCAAAATAAATATTCATTGAAACTCATTGCAAGAAGGCGTGGTGAACTTTGCGAATTTGCATTACTGATCTTGTCGATGAGACATACACTATTCTGTCAGGCGTTAGTGAGGTGTGATGTCGTCCGACTGGCGAGTGCGCCACTTACACCTACATGTCCAGCTATCAAGGGGTCTGATGTCTGATCTACCAATTTCTATCTCTCTACACAGGCATATTTACAAAGTATACAGAGCCAGCTTTCTCCAGAGATGAAAAAGATAGCATCCAAGACGCACCTGGCACCCACACCCCCTTCTATATCGGAAACTCAACTACAAGTACAGCTAACAGGATGTACATCACTGACAGATACTAATGCGGCAGCTGTGTAGATGCACCTCAGTTTATATCCATCATCCCTATTTCTGAAAATGGTTGCACCCAGCCATCTACAGCAAGCAAGCTCAGTTGGATTTTGTGACTTGTTGCATGGGTGGGGTGGGGCTGTTGAAATAATTATAATGTTTATTTACATATGAGTGTCCCATGCTGTGATTATTTACAGTTTTTATAATTTTTTTTTATTTGACTTATGTCATTTTTAGCTCTGCCATAATGGTGCAAGAATAAAAACTTCATTTTTTTTTTTAAATGCTCACCTAATTTTTTTATAAAGAAACCTGCATGTGAACACTGGGATTATGTCATTCATTGTACATTTATGCTCAGTGTATTTAATGTTGTTAACAATATCTTCAATTCCTGATAAACCAGCAAAAGGAAATCAGTTCAGTATTTTCGTAACTTCTAGTGGTACATATACATATATATATTATATAAATGAATATGAAACAGCGATTTGAACAAATCGGACAAATTGCTCTCGTTTTACTGTCGGTTCCGTATCTGTGTGTTACAAAGTTAATGTTTATGTCATGCAAAGAAGTCTGACCCTGTTAAAAACAATTTCTAGTTGTTTAAGGACCCTATAACCTTGCGTGTATGTGGAAATCGTTTGTGTATTAGCTGTACAAGGGTTTAATAAGATAAGGGTTTGCAAGCGGTGTCATATGTGTTGAAGATCTCACGAGAAGAGAAGAGTTGCGAAATTGTTATAAAAGTGCTCGATAAACTTACGTTTCTAGAAATGTAATGCACATTGAGGTGATTCTGTGAAAGAACTGTTTAGTGTTGTCGCTGGCTTTTTTGCTAGTGCCTTTGCTCATTCACGAAACATCACATACGTTTTGCATTTTTAATTAATTTTTAATGCTCATTTCTGTTTATGCGATCAAACCTTTGGTCAGAAATATGTTCGACACAGAATAGTATATCAAGTACATTGATATCAAAGTTGTGTGTACCCTTATCTTACAAAACATTGTCTATCCTTTACACCATCAGACTTTCTTGCCAAATTTGTTTTGGGGGGGGGGGGGAACAGACACAATTTTAGTAAATTTTCAGTTTTTACTCAAAATATTTGGCTATTTTTGTTCCAATCTTCTGAAGAAAAGGGCAGAATATACACAAGACTATTTTTTGAATTTGTGATAAAATAAGGGAACTGGTGGTGAAAAGACTACGGTACATTTGTATTTAGTATTCTAAAATTGTGGTGTTAGACATATTGTGTAGTGTATCACGTGTAAACATTTACAAAGTTTTATTGAACTACGGTACGCAGTACATTTTGTGATTTACCAGCATGATTTGGTTAGAGTCTGATGGTAGTTTGCATTTTGTGTACGTGTGTTTACCGAGAGACAGTCTCATGCACGAGCTCATAGTGTTTGTAAAATAGAAGTTTTTTTTTGATGCAGCCTACTTAATTTTGCTGTGCTCGGACAGATCTGTAACTCAAATCATTCAGATTTTGAATCGCATGTTCGAATGTTCTGTGAATCGTTTAATTTTTCGCTGCTAGAAATTTTCACGACTTGATGATTAAATGGCATTCAATTTTGCAAGAGTCACTGACACTCAGTGTCGCAAGTACCCCCAAAGAAATTTTCACTGCGACAAAATATTTCAATTTTCACCGAATCATGAAATTCATAAAAAAAATTGGTCTCTTGCATCTTTTGAATCAGTAGCAATTGTACATTACAGATTGCTAGTACAGTAATACAGTGTATGTATGTGTGTGCACAAGAATTTTGACTGATATTCAAATATAAATGTAGAGAGACAAGTCGAGCTTGAGTCGGTGTAGTTAAAAGTAGTAACACATCATGGAAATTATGGGATAGTCTCGTAGAGTGTAACTCGTCACACGCCTAGAAATAAAGATTCAGTCTACATTACCGGTAGTTTACAGTGAGTACATAGTTACATTCCTAAATACCTGCTACTGACCAAATCTTTAAATGCAATTTTTGCAACTTTGTTGCATTCTCAAAACTAGAGCAACATCACTGTTCTTCCGAAACCATGCCAACACCAATCGCGTGCAAGATCACACAATAATTTTCACGCCATTTCTCATGTACTAAACTGATGTCACTGACTGAAATGCAAACGTTTTTTTGTCTTTACCTCCTTTTTATGGTCAGTTTTTGTAAATGGCTTTAAAGCTCAATTTAAAATTTAAATTCATTTAGTGGTGTAAAACTCATCTACCATTATGACCAGTCAAACAACTTCTATTACAGGGCTAATACATGTGTATTTTAGAAGCTTTTTTTTTTTAACTTGAAAATTTTCTATACTCTGTTCTATCATGAGCTTATGTTACATTATATTTCCAACTTGTGAAGAGATGTAAACAGATCCTAGATAGATTGTGCAAATGTACAGCAGACGTAGAACTGAATATATAACACCCTGAGTAATTTTGGCTTTTTAATTTAGGATTTTTAGCTTTATCATTTTATACGTTGTATTTTACTTGTGGTCTGTTGCCAAATAATATCCGGTTCAGGTTAGTGTGACATGAAGAGAGCTTACACAGGTTGCACAAGCCAATGCAAGTTAATTTATTTTTCTTAATAATTTAATATTTTTACTTCAGCATTCTCTTGTTCTATTTTTTATTTCATTTGTGTTTAAAAGAAGTTCTTTTTGTGGCTTTGAAAAACAAAAACAAGCCCTGGTTATGTTTGCCAAATTTGGTGCCAGCCTCTTCATATTTCAATAAATTATTCTGGGTTTGATGTGCTTGGGTATGAATCAATAATGTCACTGAAGTTGGGTTCTCGTTGTTAAAAGAAGTTAACAAGATGGTGTACTAGTACTTGTTACTGCCTGATACAATTATTTTAGTATTTGCTTGCCCACGAACTTCAGTAGCATATTCGGCAGCACATCTTAATATTTTTTTTTTATCACAAATTTTTAAACAACATTTTATTGTTTTATCATGTTTCTGCAAAAGAGGTCCATTTCCAGTCAATAAGTGTGGTTAATATTTGGAGTTAATGTTAAGATGTAATTAGAAGACTGATTAATATTGACTAACGAAGCTAGATATTTATAAAAAGACTAAAGTTAGGGAGCTCTGAAAGTTGTATTGTCGGCAAAACTTAGTTGAAAGTCTTTTCAATTTTAGGTAACTTGTACAAAATTAAAATTCAGTTAAATATTACAGCATTCGTAAATTGTACTGATCGAACGTTAATTTATTCAAATGCATGCTACAGACAACTAACCTAGGGAGTACAAAAATGTTCAATGTTTGCTTAATTGTAAAGGAAACATGTGTATAATAGTTGTTTCCTGAATCCAAAAGGGAAGAGTCCTACTGGCTATAGAATGCATGGTTTGCATCTTTGAATAATCCTAATTTGAAATCTTTCACATTGAATATCGATTTTAATTTCAATGAAGAGAAATGCCTGCATGCGATTTAGAGGCTGGATGCTGTAATTGATAGATGATGTTTGGAAGTAACTGCTGACTCAGATATCTTGCAAATATTGTAATTGTTATAGATTGTTTATGCAGATTACTTGACATGTCAAATTGCCGCAAACTTAATTTTGCTGACAATACAATTTTATTATTATAAATCAACAGTGTGTGTTCATGTTATATTTACGATCAGTTTTGTTAGGATGTTCTGGTATACAAAAATCGTAATGACTCACAATGTTAGGAGTTCAAGAACAAATTATATTAATCACATATTCTGTATGTGAGGGAATCTTGTCAAAGATGTGTGCCAAAATTCATTACTTCCATGTACATTTCCAATCTTGGATTTTAATTGTAAAATAAAAATATTAATTTTAACCATGATATTGACTGTGTATGCTTAGTTTGAACTTCCCAATTACATTAAACATCTTGGGATATATGCATGTGCATTCATGATCTGATTTAAGATGTCTGAATGGCAACCATTTCTGTGCTAAAAAATCATCAAAATCAAGCATTTCTACAATTCTGTAATAGAATCTGTCATTTTTGGATGGGTCTCACAAACTTGGTACAAACATTAAAGATTATTGGACCTTAATGCATACCATTTTGTATTTCATATCAGATTCAAAAGTGGCCAACCGATGGCCATTTTGTTTTAATCTCTGACATGCCTTGACCAATCATTGGCCATGTTTAAACTTGATAACCCAATTCAAGATGGCGACCATTTTAATGTTGACAATTTATCTAAATCAAGCATTTCAAAACTGGGCCTTATTCATATTTTTGTCATTTTCGGTCAAAATTTATATTTTCGACTTCTTGTTGAAAAACGATTTCTTTGATATTACTTATATAGGTACATGTACAACATGTGGACCTCTCAGATTTTTTCATTTCGTGATGATATTGTTAATTCTCTAAATTTGGTGAATATTTTTGTCATTTTTGGTAAAAGTGATATTTTAGACTTCTTGTTAAAAACCACGAGTCTGATTACGTTGATACTAGACATATTGTTCATTTTCTAATGATATCTTCAGTTCTTAATTGAAATGTGCATGGCTAACAGCGGAGCTATCTCAGTCGACAGGCTGCTTGTTTAAATATGTTTTACTTCTTGTCAAACCCAGCTTGTAGTGAAATATTTTAATTTTAAGTCAGAACTTTACTCACCTAAATTCAATCTGGCTCAAAACATCGTCGGGTTAAATCTATGAAGCACAAGGTTTTAATTGTTGCACTGTTTTACTAAGTGTTTGTAAAATGTGTCGTTGGTGGCGCTATATTTGTTTCACGAATATGAATCTATTGTGTCACATTTACTAACTAACCTCGGCTACGAAAAAGTATTCAAGAGTTTCATTTGAATACGAGAAAACATGAAATAGTAATAATCAAAATTTGTGAGTGAAACTTTAATAACAAAAACGTTTTTAAAATGACAAACTGACGTATTGCATGGAGCTTTCTTACTTCTATGTAAAGTAAAAAAGGGCAGTGAAAACAAATTTTAATTTTACTTGAGTCTTCTGTTCTGAGCTAATTATATTTTGTTTTGTATATGATCTAAAAGACGGAAAATACATCATATTTGTAGTTTTTAAAATCTCAACAGAAATGTAAACAACATAAAAATAATTTGATGACGTTTTG